GATCAAGCAGATGTAGTTTTCATTAGGTTTTGTTAGATAAGCCTATGATAATAATAAGTTGCAGTGCATTTAAAATGTATCATTACTCAACATTGAAACTCATGCCCTGACAGGCGAGGTTCACTGGGCTGAGCATCGTCCCACCAAGTTCAAGGTCGCTGGTTGGATTCCCCGTCAGGGTTGCCGTCCTGGTCCTGGGTTGGGGGGGTGTGTGAGAGGCAAGCAATCAGTGTTTCTCTCCCCCTTTTTTCTCCCTCCCTTCTCCATCTCTAAAAATAAACAAGTAAAATCTAAAAAAACATTCAAGTTTATAAATACAAGTCCATATAATTAAATATGAATTGGTGAAAGTGCATCTTCCCAATGACTCAGTTTATACCAAGTCCCCAAAAGTAGGTTTAAAGAGAAACTTGTTCAGAAAGAACATGGAAAATACCTTGTAATATATGAATAATATAATATCACTGTAACATCATAAGTACAAAAATGGAACATTTAATAAAACTTCACATTGTATAACTCATATGTATACTAATAACAAGTAACTGAAAAAATTCCTAACTCCAAATCTTTCCAATAATTTTACTTAATTGGGCCTAAAAGTTGGTAGAACCACTAAGAAAAAAACATAATTGAAGTTGTAAGACAGGAAAAGGTTCACCTAACAGAGAAAACACAGTGCGTCCTCACGGTTAACGGTGGCCGTGTTGACGTGGAAAGGAAATGAAGGCAGCGTTGCCGGGAGAGCAGAGTGCGTTCAGCACAAGGGTAACGAAACCGCCGCTAATTAGTCCTCAGACCCCAGAGGGTTGGCTGGTTTCCCGTGAGGAGCTCCTGGAGACGCAAGGTCTCCGTCGGACTCACCGGGCGACAGAGCTGAAGCCTCCCTCTGCTAATGAACACAGCAGCCACCTCTGACCTCAGTAGCTGTGGACGCAACTCCACGCGGAGATGGAGACCCAGCACATGCCTTCCTGAGGAGGTGACTCCCGCCTCTGGAGACCTCGCGTGCCCCAGGACACACCACAAGCTTCCCCCACAGGTTCTCAGACGAGCTGATGAAAAGCAGTGGAAGAACTAACACCAAGATATTAAAAAGATCTCCTCCCTTACCAGAAGCAAGAGGTTGGCAGGCAACATCCAGGGCCCGGCACAAATAAGACTCCCCCCTTTTTTTTTTAATTACAGACTCTTTTATGACAAAATTAGAAGCACGTAAGTCTGTAACACGACAATATCACACTCAAGCACACCCTGTGCCATTTTAGGTGAAGTGATCAAATTGCTGTCCATCTCGTGCGAGGCATGCGTGCACCCCACAACCACGCTCAAGCAAGCCTTCCTTCTGCCGGACCTCGTATGTGGAATAGGAGCATTATTTTTCAAAGAACCCTAGCATAAGGGCAATCCAACAAAATGACGCCAGAATACCCAAAATGGCAAATAGCTGGGTGATGCATTCTTCCAAGGGAAATTACTTCTGTAATAAAAACCATCCACAAAAATACTGTAAATATTCTTTCAGTGTATTGCAATGATTGCATCACAGCTGTGGACTGGCTGTGAAAGCATACTGCATGGCCAGGCACACTCTTTTATATTAAATAGGCGATAAATAAAATTTTAGCTAATACATACATAATCACTGTTGCTAATCTCAAAAATTGAATTTAATCTCCAAACCAAATATTTGTGTGTGTTGCTCACACGAAAGTCAGTAAGGCTGACACCACAGCCTCACTATGCAAAGACCAGTGTAACTGCAATTCTGAAGTAACTCCATTTTCTTCGTGTAGGTGATGGGAGACCTTGGTATAAACAAAACATAATGCATTTTTACTAACTTCTCTCACTCCCACCCAGTTTTTCTAGCTGCATTGATATTAGTTGACCCTGGTTTCATCTCTGAAGTTTTCTAGCATCATCTTCTCCCGAGAAGGAAGGGAACTACGGAGCCTCTGCCCTACTTACACTGGAGCCGGGAATAACCCCCTTCCAGACAGAGCGCGAGCTCCCCTGGGCCACTGTGGAGCCGCACGAGCTCCCCCCAGTCTCCGAGGGAGCACAGCCCTGCCCTCCTAGGAAGCGGTAGACAGACATCATCCTGAGAAGGAAGAGGCACCGTGCTCCCAAGCAGACGTGCCCTGGACTGGCAGGCTCCTGCTACAATCGACAGTGGAGGCCTGACCCAAAAGCAGAGGAGCAGGCTTGCCTGGCCATGCAAAGTGTCAGGGAAAAAAACCCATTCAGGGTCCTTATCCACAATACCCTCCCCAAGGAAATGTTTGCTTAAGTGTCATGTTCTCAGTTGATAAATGACTGAGCATCAGTTTGGCATTGCAGGAATCACCGCAAAGGCTCTCCCCTTCGAGGGTCTTCCCCAGAAAAGAGCCTTGAGGTGCATGATGGCCGAGACAGAGCTATCGTGTGGACAGTTACCCACCGTGGCTCTCCCCGTAGACAACAACACTGTCAGGATTTTGTCTCTCAAGGAAGTATGTACATGATCGCTTCCTTACTTTGTTGTTTTAGAAACACTGTACTTCCAATGTTAAAATCTATTTTTTCAGATATCCTCCAGTTAAAACTCTAAATCATAGTCATTGTTTATGCCTTCCACTTTTTTTTTCCAGTTATGCAATTATTCAGACATTCCAAACCACTCCACAGTGGAATTTGTTTGGAGTATTAGTTCACTTCTTAGTCATCTCCCACTTCTTAGAAATGCATGATGGGATTGAACCGTCATCTGATGTCAGTTTCTTCCTTTTTTAGTCACGTTTCTTTCTTTTCGGGAAGAGTCATCAAGGAACATGCAAAAAGGACACATGGGCAAAGCCCAAGGGGGGTAGGATCGAGGGCGGGGGGTAGGGATGGCTGGGGTGGGGGAGTCATGAGGGGAAAATGGAGACAACTGTACTTGAGCAACAATAAAAAATAAAATAAAGAAAGAAAGAAATATTTTGTCTCATGTGACTGACTCGGGAAAATATGGAGAATTTTAATCTTATGAATATTCGCTCAAAAAGACTTGGCACACTATTCCAATTCCTGAAAGATGGCCCTATGTTTTTTATCCAGTAAGTGGTAAAAGTCTGTTTGATAAATGATAGCATTTTGAAAAACAGAGTCTTTACACAGGGTTCAAAAAACACAAGTATCCTTCGTGGTCATTTAACTGGGTGTGAAATTAAAGTTTAGCATTTGATTTGTGTGTGAGTACTGAATCAAATAGATTTCTGGAAAGATCATGCTTATTTTTTGTTATGAAGACCGAAAGCAGTTGCCATATAAAGTTTTTCCGTGAAAAAAAATGGTAATATATGTTGCAACATATTTCCACTGAGGATTAAGAGAGTATTCTATATATAATTTCAACCTTTAAAATTCTAAAGAACATGACAATCTCGTGCATTTTATGACAAGGCCACTTATCGGCTTGTTTCTAACAAGTATCTTCCTAGTGGAGGAAGCGTGCTAGGTTCTTTCGTCGATCCTTTTAATATGAACATTCTTTGAAACCCTCGATTTTCAATGGGTGATACATGTCATTAGGTTTCATAAGCCCTCCTCTGGACTTTGCCGTGTTCTTGCAAATATGAACCTTAAAATTACACACTTCCTAAAATGCATGTACTCCGTGCACAAGTACTAGAGGCTGCTGGTTTCCGAGACAATGTGTATCTCAGAGAAGGTGAAGACAGTCCCACTCCAAGGCTTTGCGTTGGCGGGAGTACGGGCTCTCCACAACTAACGCCATTCAGCACTGTGGACAGCTCCCACCGCGGCCCGAAATTCCGGGCCATTTCCCTTCGTTCCCAAACATAATCTGCTTTTTACTGCTATATTTAAAGTCTGCTGTTAACTAGACACTTATTAAAACTGCTTCCCGTGCTCGGGCACTCCTTTCGCTGATTTCTTTTTTTGAACGAGTTCAGTTCATCAATTAATTAAGGCGGCCCTGAGTGACTTGTTATTGTTTGTTTTCCATGGGAAAGCCTAGCCTTATTCCGGAGCGAAAAGAACGTGGCCGCGGGGTGCGCACAGGCTAATAAGAGGATCTACTTCGTGACCTTCATCTGATAATCTCTAGACATGCTCCTAAGCGAATGAAGACTTGGGCGACAAGTAAGACCAGGACAACGTCTTCATTCTAAGTCTCCGAGGCAATTTACCCTGACAGCTGGCAACTCCCTGCCCTCGTTCTCGAGCTGCTGGAAACCGGAGAGAGGTTTCTGAAATAGACTCAGAGTCAAGGTCAAGAGAGGGTGTCCCCGCGTTTCAGGAAGGGGCTCTGGGAACGCCCGCGTCCGGGTCCGGGCGCCGCTGCGCGTCGCGCTCCCGCCCAGCCCCGCAGCGCGGGCGGCACCGGACTCCCGAGCCAGGGTAGTCGGAGCGCAGATCCCCGTGCCCAGCCTGCCGGCCCCCGTCTGCAGGAACGCACCGAGGCTGCCCGCTGCCTCCGGCGGATGAGAAGCGGACGAACGCTCCGGAGGAGGGAGCAGCCGGAACAGCTGGGACCTGTGGGTGACTGTCCCCAAGCCAACCGGCCGGCCGTCCCAACCTCTGCTCAGCCCCAGGAGCGCCTCTTTCCCTTTGGGAACCCAAGCGCTTCTTGGGGACAGAGCACGAGGAAGGGTGGCACCTCCCAAAGCCACTCTCTGGCCGCGTCCTTACACTGCCATCTCCGAAGTAAAAGTTTCCCTGGCGCAACTTAGCATCCTCCCACCGGGGGTCACCGTGGCCTTTTACCCCGATCGGTCCCCAAAGTTCGCGGGGCAAAGGCGGGCAGGCTTCCGGGGTTCCAGGGCCACAGGAACTCCTCGTCCCACCCCATCCTGGGTGGAAACTAGTGGAAGAGCCTGCTGAGCCCGAGCCCGACTGGGGGCGCCGCCGCCGCAGCGCCCCCTGCGCCCACCCCGCGCCCCACCCAGAGCCCCCGCGCCCCTCCTGGCGCCGCGCGGCGCGGGCGGGACGGGCGGGGCGCGCGGAGCCCTTACCTGAAATCGCTGTAGGGGTGGATAATCCAGAAGCCTGCAGTTTTAACCCTTTCCTGCTCCTTCTCCACCGCCTTCTGGCTCCCAAACATGCGGAGGGAGAATTTGTTGACGCCGGGCTGCAGCATGGAGGTGAACTGCCTCTGCATGAAGCCGTACTGCCGCCGGGGCCCCTCGGCGTCCTCCAGGCCCCCGGCCGGCTCGTCGCCGCCGCCGTCCACCTTGAAGCACACGGAGTTGCCCAGCTCCTTGGCGCCCGTCCCGCCGCCCCCCGGCGGGCTGCCGGGCCCCTTCTCGGCCCCGGCCGACCCCGCGCCCGTCGCGGGCGGCTTGGCGGGGAAGACGCTGTTGCCATCGTCCCGGCCGCTGGACGACGAGTTGGGCTTGCCGCCCGCTTCCATGGCCGGGGGACGCGGCGGGTGCCGGCGCCGGGACCACGATCGCCCGCGGCTCGAGGCTGCGGAGCCGGGGCCGAGCCGGCTACGCGCGAGCCCGGCTGCCCGTCGCGCCGGCGGCGGCGGGGCGGCGGCTGCTGCTTCCCGCCCGCCGGCTGCTCGCTGCGCGCCTCGCTCCCGCCGCCGCCGCTGCCCTCACTGGCTGCGCTCCGGCTGCGCCGCGCGCGGGGCTGGGCTGGGGCTGCCCGAGCCGCGAGGCTCCGCTCGGCCCGCGCACCAGCGCCGCCCCGCGGCTGCCCCCTGCCGGCCGGAAGGGTCCGCACGCCGCGCACTCCCACTCTCGCTCCGCTTGGGCCCAGCATGACATTGAACTCAGGAGCCCTGGGAGACACTTCTCCTACCCGTTGTTGTTAGACTCTGTACATACTTGTTCAAAGAGGAGCGAGACCGAGAGACATGGAGAGACAGACTGAGCTGGCGGATCCACTCTCATCCCAAAGAAACAAGCATCATCCTAAAACTCACGGGGACAGTGCCACATTGTTGGGACGCCTGTTTGAATGATGTTACATTTACAGTGAGGGGACAGGCAGGGAGGACGGCTGGCTCCTCAGGCAGAAGATTCACGAGTAAATCTAGATGTGCAGGTAAAGGTGGGATTCGACACTGGACGAGAAGTTTCGTGAGCACAAGGGAAGTTCAGTGTGTGTGTGTGTGTGTGTGTGTGTGTGTGTGGTGTGTGTTGGAAGGCAAGAGCAGACAGCAAAACGCGCCAGGTGTGGGTACCCGGAGTGATCAGCTGCTGAGGGCTTCTCGGATTAAGCTCTGCACCCCACAGACAACTGACCTCCTTCCACTTATCCCTGCTTATTAGCTCCCTAAGCAGGGTGCGGGATTTCTTCCTTGCCAGGGCCACTCACACCAACACAGGGGCCGGCACATCCTCCGGCCGCCTTCGCCAAGACAGAAATGTGCTAGGGAGGCCTTGCCAGAACTGACCTATCTTTCAGATAAGTTATGTAATCAAAAAAACACACTAAGAGGCAGGCTTATTGGTCAGTGTTCACCTACACCTCGCCAGAAGCCAAGATGTCTTGGCATCTAGACCAACGGTGACCACGGTTTCAGATGGGGGAAAGCATTCTCACACGAAATGTACAGCTGTGGCTGCTGCTGCTGCTGAGGAAAGCAGGCTGAGACTCCTCGCACTCCCTCTGTGTCTCCCAAACCCACCGGTTAGCTACAGGACGCAAGACATTGGGCCACAAACTCACTGGTCACTCAGCAGGGCAGCCCCCAAGCCTGAAGAGCTTTAAGCCTCCCAGGGGCCCCAAAATATCTGTTCCAGGACAGCCGTTGTCTTCCTGCCCACAGCCCCCTCAAGGGCAATCCTGCCCTGCCAAACGTCCCCGGTTTCATGAGGTCCTGTCTGCCACAGCCATGTTTGCAGGGAGAGGAGCGGGCACCTCCAGGAGGAGGGAACCGGTGACAAGCTGGCCCCTGATGGCCTTGCATGAAGGAGTGAGCCGCCAGTCACGGTGCTTCCCTGAAACACTGGATGGTGGTGAGGAAGCCAATTTGCCCTGGGACAGGCGGGGATAAAGACAAAGGAAGAGACCTCGGTGTCTTCTTGAGGGGCAGACAGCCGACAAAGGGGGCAGAGAACACAGAAAAAAGCAGGGGAAGCAGAAACAGGAAGCCACGAGGCCCCCCTGTGCTCCCATTTTGTACGGTTTTCCTTACCACTCCACATCCCCGAGCCTATGCTAAGCCTCCTTCCGTGAGCTCCATCCTGACTCAGACACCATCTGTTCTCAACTAATCAAACACCAGAACCCTACGAAATTCATATAGGTGGCCAAAATTTGAGGGTAAGAAGCAGGGAACATGTGGCCAACACAGTGCTGTGACCGGTGGAGTCAGGGACTTGGGGAAGGCCAGAGGCCAAGGGCAGGAGGAAGCAGAGGGATGGATAAAAGGAGCGTTGCCTGCCACCCGGCTCTTGCCGAGAAAGGCCCCGTTACTGGCACAGCTTTCCTCGACTGGATCAAGCATGTTCCCTGCTCCGCTCCCATCCCGCACGCTGCTCCAGTCCCTCTAAATTCAGTCGTGAGTGTGACAATGTATATTTTAACATAAATTTTAAAATCTTATAATAGTGCTAAAATATACTATCTCAAATATAATGCTAACTGAGTGTAAGTCGATTTCCCTTTGCTTCTAGCCATTCCTATTTGTTCTGTTGCGACTTCTTCGTGGCCAGGCAGTTATTTTCGTCAGTTTTTGCCAGTTTCACTGTTTGTACTACAGTAATGTGGCAGAACGACTAGAAAGCAAGTTTTCAAAATACAACAGAGAAGTATCTAAATAGGGTCACAAGTCTTCGGTTGCTCCAGATACAGCTTTGAGGTTATTTTTCATTTATTCAAATTCTCAAAAAAATGCATTATTTTTTAAATTTTGAAAATGTGTATATGATAGTCACTTATTCAAGTTGTGACCAATAAAACAGTCAAGTTTCTTTGCTGTAATTTTTTTAAATATTTTATTTACTTATTTTTAGGGAGGGGGAGGGAGAGAGAAACAGAGGGAGAGAAACATCAATGTGTGGTTGCCTCTCATGTGCCCCCTACTGGGGACCTGGTCCACAATTCAAGCATGTGCCCTGACTGGGAATCGAACCGGTGACCCTTTGGTTCATAGGCCAGCACTCAATCTACTGAACCACACCAGCCAGGGCACTTTGCTGTGCTTTTAGATTGCCGATTGAAAGTCATTTAGAATGTGAATATAGATGAAATGCTTCCTTAGAAAAGAGAGAGAGAGAGCGTGTGAGATTAGGAGAGAGTGAAAGCTACAAAAGAATGAAAACAATGAGACAAAGGGACAGAATCAGCAAATACATTTTAAAATGGGACTTAATCATGAAACTAGCTTCTGTGGCTAGAGCCGGTAAATGTCTTTCCTTGTCTAATGGTTCTATTTCCGAATGCACCGCATGAACTAAAAAAGGGCTTTGACCAAGAAGGAAATCGGGGCCTGATTATCCGCTGGGCAGGGAGGAGGGGCAGGAATCGCAGACAGGAGTGGGTCAGGCGCTGCTCTCCATCTTCCCACACTCCAGCCCCAGACCCGAACTTTCCTTCCCTGTGGTCCTTCCCTTTTCTCCGCTGCCTGCCCCTTCCCTGAGCCCCTCCAGAAACATGTGCACCGTGCCCGGGGACAGGCCGAATTGCGGGGATCACCTCTGCTTAGCACATTTTCCCTGTCTGCTCATTAGTGGCTTTTTCAGTCATCTCAGAAACAGGACTGATGCCACTCAACTCTACATCATTAGATGCCGGTGAGGTTAAACAAAGTCCCTTGTATGCTAGCAGAACCCAATTTCTGAGGACTCATTGAAGATCAGTTGGGAATTTATTTCACGAGGACGTCCCAAAAGGAGTTGTAATGGGTGCGTTCCGGGACATACCATGATTGTGGATCTTCTGAATAGTGCCCTGTTTCCTTTAACTAGGACCAGACTGCAGACAGCCATGGGAGACTGATATGAAACTACAATAAAAACCATGCAGCAGACTCAGGCACATGTGAAATGAGACAAACACGATAGAGGGGCGACTTGAGGATGGAAAGCCGATTGGAAGATTCTCAGTGAAACTTAAAGATTTAAGAAATACAACATTTTAGTCCTCTTAGGAGGTGAGAAGGACATGTTAAACACCTATTTCGCATGCAAGGAAGTACAGTCGGGTCTATCTGCATTACACAAAGCAATTGTAAGGAACAGTGAAAAGAATAGTTTACCAAAGGCAGCCTCACAGCCTCCATGTGTCTGATGCACAGGAAAACTCAATTATCTCTCTGGAATGCATCCAGCAGTCTCTGTGAAATGCTGGGGCCGCTAAAGTCAGAACAAGACACTCATCTCCCGGATGTCTGCAACGGGTCATATTTTCAGCTGAAAATATTGCTTCCCTGAAGCCCCAAAAGAACCAACTGCATAATCATTATAATTAAAAATAGAATTTTAGAAATCAAAAGCAAAGTAAACATGAACAAATGAGATTAAAAGTGAAAGGATGGAAAAGGTGCTCCATACAGTAGTAACAAAAGGGGAGCGGGGTCAGTTACACTAACATCAGGAAAACATAGACTTTGAAGTAAGAAGTTATGAGACAAAGAAGGATGTTATATATTAATAAAGGTTCCATACAGCAAAAAGATATAATAATTATAAACATTTGCACATCGACTGACAAACCATCAATATACATGAAGCAAAAACAGGAAGCATAAAAGGGGAAAATGAACAGTTTTACAATAATAGTTGAAGACTTCAATACCCTATTCTCAGTAATGGGCAGAACAACCAGATAGAACATAAGTGAAGAAACAGAGGACTTAAACAACCCAATAAACCAACTAGATCTAATGGAATATTATATACAACATTCTATATGACAATAACATGCACATTCTTCTCAAGTGGACATGGGACATTCCCCAAGATAAATCATGTTAGTCCACAAATTAAGTCCCAATAATTGTTTACAAAATAGCTATCATAAAATGTATCTTCTCTGACCACAGCAAGAAGTTAGAAGTCAATAACAGAAATAAAAATGGAAAATTTACAAATTCGTAAAAATTAAGTAACCCACTCTTAACCAATGGATCAAAGAAGAAATCACAAAGAAAATAACAAAAGGCTTAAGATGAGTGAACACAAAAACACAAAATGCCAAAACATATGGGACACAGTGGAAGCGATACTAAGGAGAAATTTAAATGCTTACATTAAAAAACAAGAAAAATCTCAAGTCAACAACCTAACTTTACAGGGCAAGGAAGCCGAAAATAAAGAACAAACTAAACCCAAATGTATCAGAAGAAAGGAAATAATTATTAGAGCAGAGATAAATTGAACAGAGAATAGAAAAGCAATAGAGAACATTAATAAAATCGAAAGGTAGGTCTTTGAAGAGATCAACAAAACTGACAAACCTTTAGCTTGATGGGCTGAGAATAGAGAGAGAGAAAATTTGAATTGCTAAAATCAGGTGTTCACATTAGGCTATTACGGTGAATTCCAGTGGCATGGAAATGATAGGAGAGAATAACTGCATGCCAACAAATTGTATAACCTCAATGAAATGAACGGTCTGGGAAATA